CTACTGAGTACTTTAAGGTGTTGGTTTTGCCACAGTGTATCTTTCTTATATTTATGTCCTCTTTAAGGAAAATTAGTATTTGAAAATTAAGCTAATATGACTTGCCATCAAAATTATAACATTCATTTATAAATGTTAGCAATTAGTTCTGTCTTGCATTTCATATTTGTGTGAGCTGATTGCTGAATATGGAAATAATGATTGCCATAATATATTCCTCAATATGTTTATTACTCTTAAAATAATAATTAACATATTTATCTCTTTCTAAATGCTTTAAGATTTTTTTGCAAATAACTGGTTATTTAAAATAATCTAGTTGTATATATTGATGAGTTTATAGTCTTTTCTGGGAAGATATATGTTTAGCTCAGAGCTTTCTTAACCTGGAATTCATAGTTCATAAGAGTTCCTAAGGGAATTTCATTAAGTAGGTTCACAACTGGAACTATGAAAATAGAAAATTAGCTCTCTAAAACTTTGTGAAATTGTGTGTACAATTGCATGTGTGTGTCTGTGTGCATGCATGTGCACATGTGTTTAGAAGGCCAGCATTTATAGCTATCATCAAGGGATCTGTCATCTAAAAGCTGTATGTGTGGTTAGAGGTTCATGCACAAATTTTATGAAAAATTATTTTAAGAAAGAAAACTTTTAAAATAATCAAAAATCTTTTTACTCTATAATTATATATTTTCCGTTATTAAATTAAATTTAGTACCTCTTAATTTGACAGCATTTAGATTACAAATAGTGAAATTCAAAGTTTGTAATAAGATATATTTTTATCCTATTTTTACAAAATTTAAGGAATAACCAAATAATGATAATGTAGCTTTTAAGATATTTTTTGAAGATTTGTTTTACCTTGTCCTGGTGATATTTGTAGGAAGGCCAATTGCTAGAGTAAGAATATGACCATATCAAAACTTATTGACCACCAAAACACTTTCTGTATGTATTTGTACTTCATTTTATGCCTCCTCTATGCAATACCAAAATTAATGAACTTCCATTAATGAGAATTTAATTAATGAGAGTCTAAATCTTCCAGACCAACCTTTTTCTAAGTTCAAAACTTTATTTTACTAGAAAGGTGCTAGAGATACCCACACATTTTATAAAGATAGTTAAAAAAAAATGAACTACTGAATACCATTACTCTGGTTGGGTGCTTAGAAATAAAATCTGCGTATTTGGTTTAAATAATTCTTTAAACCCTAAAGTTCATTTTTTGGAATATGACATAAATAAGTTGATATTTGTTTTATTTTTTATTTTTTAAAATTTATTTATTTATTATAAAGATATGGGTTATAATTCAGGGCCAGGTATACAGATATTGATCATGCAGGTACCCTTGTTGATGAGGTATGTCCCTCCCTCCCCTTGCAGTTTCCCTCAACTGCCAGTCCCACCCCCCGCCTCCTCTGACAGTTTTCCACTACTGCCAATCATTTTCTTATAGCATCATAATTGTTCAAGTCGATATTTGGAAGGGACAGGGCTTTATACCTCTGGTATGTAGTTTACTTAATTAATTTAAGTGCATTTATATCATTTCTTAAGGGATTGAACCTGTTGGAGTAGAAACCTCTCCTTTTCATACACAATTATTAAGAAGAAGACAATGTCTTGTTCACCCATATTATTGAAAAATGTAGATACAGATTTTTTTTTTAAATAAAGAGACATAATATCACTGTGGTTAAGAATGAGGACTCTGGAGCTCAAAAGGCTGGGACTGTTTTTCTACTCTCATAATTTTCTTAGTCAAATGACTCCAGGCAATTGCTGTGTGCCTCAGTTTCTTCAACTATGAAATGGAAATTATAATTAGGCTTGCCGTGAGGATTGAGTTATTGCATGTAAGGTACTTTCTTTGAACAGTGCCTGACAAAGTAAGTGTGCAATAAATATTAGCTATTGTTTTTATCAATTATAGTTTGATAGACTGAGTATTAAATATGCTTTTACCCTGTATGAATTAATTTTAGTTTATAAAACCAAGAAGTAAGCAAGATAGACTCCCTGAGGCCATAAGTCTGGAATGAAATGCAATTTGAATAATAAAAAAAATCATATATCTAGTTATTCCATATAATCTCTTGTTTTTTTCAAATGAGTTAATTTTTCTTAATTACCACATTATCTAAATTAAAATAATATTTCTCTCAAAGCATTCACAGTAAAATGCTGTCTTAAGAATGAATTAACAGAAACACATTTTTTAAAAGATGTTTTAATGTTGCAAAGGTGACAGGGGGCAGGGTTAAATAAAGCTTGTTCAAGAATAGCAAAGGAAGATGATCAACTTTATTTTGAAATATAGAACCCTCTTTTGTCCTTAGACTTTAGAAGTCATACATCACAGTTCTGCCAGCTTGTTTACTAAGTACTGAAGTTGCCCTTAGTGTTCAGAAAACTTGATTAACTATATTGCTGTTCTGGACTAGTTTTACTTATGTAAGTTGACTCTCAGGACTTTACCTGGCAGCAAAGAGAAGAGAAAAATGTAGTCATTACTCTATGTATGTCAAATGCAATCCCAGGGAAGAAAACTGAAAAAGATAGTACTTCCTTGACTGAAGACTGTGCCAGAGCTCCTTAGCAAGCAAGCTATTCACCATGCAAATGAACAATGGAGTCCCACACTGAAACAGCTGTTAACTACATAAAGCTGTTAAAGGGATTAACAGTGCCAGAGGCTGAAATGTAATCAGGCAGGTGAAATAGTGATAAAATAAATATTCCTGCATGAAAACGCAATAATGTTTAATTAATTAATTAATTTTTATACTGCTGTAGCAACTGAGTTTAATACTTGTGAACTATGTTAAACTTTAAAAATACTTCATATCTCTTTGAAAGGTATAGAAAGTAAGAGACATGCAAAATAGGATACTTCATTGAAATTTTTTTTGTATTTTAATAGTATTGATTGCATACAGATTTGGGTGTTGTTTCCTCTATACGGTACACATTCTTTGCTATAGCAAGATGTGTATAATTTTCAATTATGATAAATGAAGAGCAGCTGCTGAATTCTTGTTTCAAAGGTTTGTCATCATATAATGTGAAAAGACTACAGTTCAAAATGAAGCCAATATTGGAGTGTTTCTGCTTTGGACCCTGGAAAGAAATGAGAATAAAAATCTTATGTGGAAATTGCTATATTCTGGTATTCTGGTTTGCATATTAAACTATGCTAATGTGTATTATGGGCCATTGAAAAAAGTATTCCTAATAATTAACTTACTGAATGAGTTTTTTGTTGCTCTTTTGAGGTGTGTGTGTGTGTGTGTGTGTGTGTGTGTGTGTGTGTGTGTGTATGTATGTGTGTGTGTGTATGAATTTTAAATAAATAATTTCAGAAGTGTACCTTCACTTCATCTGCAGGGGCTTGTAATTATTCCATTATGCATATTGATTTCTAAATTCAAGTATATTATAAGATTAATTGTCTATAGAGCATTCTGTTAAAGCATAGTAATAGTCAGAGGCATATTCTATAACTTTTTAATAGGTGTTAAGCATTTATTGAGAATTATAATTCTAAGGAATTAATACTTTGAAGATTCTGTTAGTGCACATTTTTTATTTTTGCTTTTCCCACATGCCTTAGCCCCATCCAACAAACTAATGCCTATAATACAGCTATTGTCTTTGTACTCACTATCTGTTTAAAAAAGTCATATTAACAGATTATGTTTATTTGACATGTCTATTTTTAATCTATTTTAAAAATTAGAATGACAGTTTTTAATGAAGTATTTTAATACTTTTTAAGCTAGTCAAAAAATATTAGCATTAACCTGAAAAATATTAGATATTAATCAGTGGTTTATCACTTTTCTGAAGTCAACAGACTATATTAACATGTCTTAAATAGGTAGAAAAGAAATGTGTAAACAGGAATAATCTATTATTCTGAATATTAAACAGACACACTCAAATACAATTTTAATAGAAACTTTTAATGCTGTAGGATTAAGAAATACACTTAGGGTAAGACTCAGAGATCTCAGGATACGGTTTATTTTTAAGATCTCTGTTCTATGGAAAGTAAAGGATTATGGAAATAAGAGACTAGACAAAGAAAACATGTAAGTAGGAAAATTAATTTTTCTTTGTCATTTCGATATCACATCTACTGAAAATATCTGAAAAATCATTAGTGTTTTTTAATATAAAAATACCCAAAATATTGTACAAATTCCCAAAGTAGTGCTAAAAGTTGTGGGGGGAAATGATGACAATAGAATACAGAAATACATAGATATTTTGGAATTATAGAATAAATTCATTTCTATACACATGCATGCTTTTTAAAAAGCAAAAACTGCAAGAAACTTATTTTTATAGATGAGTGTGGCTTAAAGGGCAGAATAAGAAAGAATTGACAGAAACAGTGCAGGTAACAAATGAGATCTGAAATGTCTTCAGCATATGCAAAAATGAACTTGTAATAATCTTGTCTGTTACCAAAATAACCTGTGTGACTGATGCTTTCTTAAAAGCATGAGAGGGAGGTGGAGAAATAAAACTTTAATTAGGAATACTATCAAGAAGAAGCAGCTATCAAAAATAAAAATAAAGTATACGTAATGTTATTTGTTTAAATATTACAAAGTCAAGAGGCAGTTTAACACAGATGAGACTACATTTAATGTTCATAGGAAAATCTGAGACTTAACAAAAGCAGAAAAATAAACAAATCTAATCGGTATAGGCTTTGTATGAGACTATGTTGTCATTTGTACTCATTTGAAGAAAGAGAATCTCCATATTTTGGTTTCTTTTGTGAATTGATCATTGATTTACTCTAGGGCTAGCTTGTAGTGTTTATTTTTTCTTTCTAAAAAATTGTTTCTTTTACTCTTGCAAATTGGCATTTCACTTTTCTCTTTAGCATTTCAGCTGAATCAGCCATATAAACAATTGAAAAACAAGTTACTGAGTTTTAAACAAATTCTTCTTCCCCTTGCTTTGTCTTCCAGGAAGTTGATGGCAATAAAGTTATGTCTTCATTTGCCCCACACAACTCATCTACCTCACCTCAGAAGGCAGAAGAAGGTGGGCGACAAAGTGGCGAGTCATTGTCTAGTACAGCCTTGGGAACTCCTGAACGGCGCAAAGGCAGCTTAGCTGATGTTGTTGACACCTTGAAGCAGAGGAAAATGGAAGAGCTCATCAAAAACGAGCCAGAAGGTAAAGGCTGGAAAAGAAAAGTGTTGTTGCTGTGTCCTGCTTTTAATAGTTTGATTGTAACTTCCAGTTCTGTTATTTTTTTTTTTAATTTATACTCTTAAGTTGGACAAAATAGAAACCTAGTGCTGTGAAGATGGATAGTATTTTGTTTGTCAGAAACATTTAAGCACACTTGTCTCAATTTTTAAAATCATTAATCTATGTTTTGGTGTTATTTTCACACATGAGTAAATTGTAGTTGAGTGAAACTTAAAAGATTGAAGATTGTTATGTGGCAGCAGAGCCCAGAATAGTCACCTGTTTGCCAAGTATCTGCAGTCTAGTTTGTTTATCTCTGTTATTTTTTTCTTTAAGGATCATTTGAAAATTTTATTACATTTTATAAACTTTGTACATAAATACATCTTATCCTATCTTGATAGGTCTATTTCTTTTATACTCAAAATTAATAGGGTTAAGCCTATTGTATACTTAAAAATTAGTGATTCTTTAGCTATTAGTTCCCATATGTCTAACTTACAGGAAGTATTTCTTTTAAAATTTCATCTTCTAACTTTCCTTAATAGTTACTGATAGTAGCCTGCAGGTGATATGCATATGGACTAATCTTAAAATTAGAGCAAACAAACCAATAAAAGAACGGATGCAAACTGTACAAATGTATGCATAATTGACAGTCATCCTTTATGTTTCAGATTCTTACTGCTATTTAAACCTGTGTCCATCCTAAGTATGGGTGCTATGTTGCAAACAAGAAAATGCTTCCTGTTTCAATCAGATGGCATTTTTTTTTTTTTTTTTTTGCTTTAAAAAAATTTTTTATTTTAAAGATATAGGGCACAATTCAGAGTTAGGTATATATTTGGTCATTGTACAGGTAAAGTTTGAGCTTCTCTTTGGTTCCCACTTCACCTGGTTTGAGATCAGGTACGCTTATTGATGTAGTGCCCCCACAACCTCCCTCCACAGTTTCCCACTACTGCCAATCCCTTTCTTATGAGTGAGAACATGTGGTACTCAGTTCTTTGCTTCTGTGATGTATCAACCATTATTATAGACTCTAAGTACATCCAAGTTGCTGCAAAGTTCATAATTTTATCCTTCTTTATGGCTGCATAATAGTCCATTGTGTATATGTAACACATTTTTTTTATCCAGTCCACTTTTGATGGGCAGCACCGTTGATTCTGTGTTTTTGCTATTGTGAATAATGCAGCAAATACCTGTGCAGATACCTTTTTCATAGAGTGATTTGAGTTCCTCTGGGTATTCCCAGAAGGGGGATTGCTGGGTCATATGGAAGGCAAGATTTTTAGATCTTTTAGGAGTCACCACACTGTTTTCCACAGAGGTTGTACTTCTCTACACTCCCACCAATGGTGAAGTGGTCCCTTTTCCCTGCATCCTCTCCAGCATCTGTTGTTTTTTGAGTTAGTGATGATGACCATCCTGACTTGCGTTAGGTGGTATCTCAGTGTGGTTTTAATTTGCACTTCTTTGATAATTAGTGAGGCTGAGCATTTTTTCATGATCTGTTGGCTCTCGTATGTCTTCTTTTGAGAAATGCTCATTCATATCTTTTGCCCACTTTTTAATAGGGCTGTTTGTTTTTTTTTTCTTTTCAGCACATTTGAGTTCCTTGTAGATTCTAGGTATTAGGCCATTGTCAGATATATAATGTTGGTGAATATTTTTTCCCAGCCTGTGGGCTGTCTCTCTACTTTCTTAATGATTTCTTTTGCTTTGCAGAAACTTTCAGTTTGATGAGGTACCATTTGTCTATCTTATCTCTTACGGCATGGACATTTGGGCCTTTGTTCAGGAATTGGTTACCAGTTCCAATTTCCATGAGGGTGTCTCCTGTATTTTCTAAGGTTTTTATAGTTTGAAGTTTTACATTTAGGTCTTTGATCCATTTAGAGCTGATTTGATCCATTTTTGTGTATGGTGATAGATAGGGATCTTGTTTTGACCCTCTGCACATGGTCAGCCAGTTTTCCCAGTACCATTTACTGAGTAGGTTCTCTTCTCCCAGTTGTTGTTGATTGAGGCTTTGGCAAAGATGAGTTAGTTGAGAATCTCTATCCTGTTCCATTGGTCTATATGCCTGTTCTTCTACCAATTCCAGTCTGTTTTTTTTTTTTTTTTTTTAATTGTAAAGATGTGGGGTACAATTCAGGATTAGGTATACAAACGTTGATTATGCAGGTACCCTTGTTGATGAGATGGAAATTTTAAAACAAGCAAAAAAAAAAAAATATATATATATGGCATACCAAGACATACTTTACACCAAAAATATACTGCACTTATATACTGTGTAGCACTGAGTTGGGCTCATGTCTATTCTGTTAAGATAGGTAACAGAATTCTGTTAGGTAAATTGAGTTGGGCTCATGTCTATTCTGTTAGGATAGGTAACAGAATTCTGTTAGGTAAATTATATCAATACAAAATGTATGTTAGCCAGCTTATTTAGCAATCATGTGATAATTAAATATTTCTAGGTCCCTCCCAGATGCATAGTTGGGACCAAATTTTGGTTAAAATTTAGGCAGTTCTCATGATCTTAGGATTGGTAAGAATTTTAGAGATAATCCTGTCAGTCAAAGACTTTTGATATTTTATCATCTTAAGTCCCCTCCCTTTCTCATGGAGATAAAAATGGGTTTTTAGGAGGACCCAGACAACCTTACTTTTTTTTCTTTTTGAATATGGTAGGGTTTTTCCTGATATTAGAAATAGTGTGTTCTTATAATAATTATTTTCAAAACATAAAAAAATTAAAAAGAAGAAAATAAAAATCACCCGAAATTATAGCTATTTGATATGACTCTTAACTTCATGATGTATTTCTTTTTTCTTTTGCATGATTAACTTTATATAGACATTCCCCCGACTTACAGTGATTCTGATTTTGATTTTTCAACTTTAAGACTACAAAAATGATATACATTCAGTAAAACTGTACTTCCACATTTAAATTTTGATTTTTTCTCACCTGGCAATATACAGTAGGATACTCTCTTGCAATGCTGACAGTGGCAGCTCCCAGTCAGCCACATAATCATGAGGCTAAATAACCAATACTCTACAGCATACTGCCAGATGATTTTGCCCAACTGTTATCTCATGTAAGTGTGAGCATGTTTAAGATAGACTAGGCTAAGCTATGCTGCTTGGGAGGTTAGGTGTATTAAATGCATTTTTGACATATGGTATTTTCAAATTACAGTAGATGCATTAAGACACAACCCCATAGTAAGTCAAGGAGCATCTATACTTTACAGTTATTTTGCATTCTCTGTTTTGCTTAACATTATAGTATGAGCACATCTCCTGTCATTAAGTAAACCATTTTTGTCACCTCATATTAATTACATACTATATAATTAAGAATACTGATGTTGATCACTTGGCTGAAGTAGTGTTTTGCAGGTTTTGTCCACTGTAAATTTGCTCTGTGCCTCTTTTCCACACCATACTCTTTAGAAGAAAGGTGCTATGGGCAATCCACACTTTAGGAGCGGGGAGTTATGTTCCCCCTCCATTAGAATTGCAATTTCTGCATAGTTTATTTGGAATTCTTCTGCATGAGAAAGTTGTCTCTTCTCTACTATTTGCTAATTTATTCATTCATTTTTAAAATTTTTGAGTCAGAGTCTCACTCTGTCACCCAGGATGGAATGCATTGACTCATCGCAGCCTTGACTTCCTGTGCTCAAATGATCCTTCCTCCTCAGTCTCCCGAGTAGCTGGAACTACAGACGCACACTACCACTCTTGGCTCTCTCTCTCTCTATATATATATATATATATTGTAGAGAAAAGGTCTTGCTGTGTTTCCTAGGCTGGTCTTGAACTCGTGAGTTTAATCAATCCTCTTGCCTTGGCCTACAAAAGTGCTGAGAGTACAGGCATCAGCCACTGCCCCTGGCTTCAATCATTTATTCAATTCGGTATGGACTCATGGATATTTATTTTATATTTTGAATATCACTTTCAGATGGCACTGTTATTGTGGTTGTGATTATTTTAATTATTAGCTTAGTACTTTTTACTTTCTGGCAATATAAGATAATGAAAGCTCATTGTGTATAGTATTTCCTGCTCCAGTCCTAGAATCAGCCATTTCAGAACACTATTAGGATGCAAGATCAGGATGCTAGGTGTGTTCCTTGCTTCTGAGACGTCATTTCTTTTAAGGTCTTTAGCTGGCAGAGCAAAGAAATAAAGTATATGCGTGTATACTAACCTGTGTATGTATATAGATATCTATAAATATTTCTATGTTTAACTACCTGTGTCTATATTAAGCTAAATATGAGTTCTTACTAATGTCCATTTCTGCATGGTTTATTCTGACTTCATTCCTTGTTGATCTATACATTCCCACCCAACCTGTGAGAAGTTTGACTCCCATCATCCACCATCCATTTCCATTAATTATTCAATTCCAGTATACAGTATTAGAGTTGTTAACTGGTTTTACCTAGGAAATACCATTATCAGGTAGAGTACAGTGCTTATGTGCAGGTTCCTTTGCTTTTAACTTTATAGATTCCGTTCATTTCCAAAGTTACTAAGGTAACTTTTCCCTCATCCTATTCTGTGAGTTGTTTTATATATTTATAGTATTGTTAGATTCTTTCTGTATTCTTTCTTGATAGCCCTCAAATTCCTAAAGGATTTTTTTAATTGCTTATAAGTTTTATGCATTGTGTTGTACATTTCTTTGTGTTTTGACAAATGTACGTTTTCAGTATTTATTATTACAATATCATGCAAAATAGTTTTCATCACCCTAAAACATCCCTTGTGCTTCACATATTCACCCCTTCCTTTTTCCCCAGAATCTCAGGCAGCTACTGATCTTTTTATTATCTTTAGTTTTGCCTTTCCTAGAATATCATATAATTGGAATCACACACCATATAGCCTTTTCAGACTGCTTCTTCCACTCATTAATGCACATTAAGGTTCTTCCAGGTCTGTTTATG